TGTCTTAGGATGCCGCCTGCAGACCGTCACCGCCACCAACTTGCTTGGCTTCTCCACGCTGCTTCGCGAGAAATGAACTGCCAAAAGTCCTGAACAGATGGGCCTAACCTATCTATCGACTACCTAGACCTAGACCGGACTGACTGACCGACCGGTACCGTTGCTGTTTCGGCCTCTCGGCCTCTACCGGACCCGGCTATAGGCTATTGGACCGTCTAGCAGTATAGGCCGCTTAGGGCCTGTCTGTCCTAGGGGTAGCCCGGGCCTGCTATAGGCAGTTAGGGTAGCTGTAGGAATTCGGGTTAGTACTGGGCCCGTATTTTCCCAGATTTACAGATATGTCCCTCACGAATTTCCTTACAGGCAGGTCTCTCGGTTAGCCCTCAGCCAAATAAAATTACAAATTTAACCCTACCGGTTAGTGTACAGCCTCGCAGTCAATCTCGGCAGTAGAATTCAGCAAGTCATTGCAGCTGGTTTACCAGAGAATCAGAGAGGAGTTAATAGGGACTGCCCCACATATTGTCTCTTATTATGAATGGCACACAGAGGTATCAACATAGTATATCGGTAAAATAATAAAATTAGCAACTTTCTCGAAGGACCTTGAAACTAGGGCAGCAAGAGTGAAAGGATTTCACATTGTAAGCCCTGAGTCCCAGTTCTAGGGTCAGGGGCCCCAAGTCCAAAAGAAGTCGAAGAGGCCGAAACGTCGAAGGTCACGTCGGGTACCCCTCAGGCCAGACTGGTCAAACTCCGACCGATACCCGGCCAGAGAGTCCAGTCCCAAAGTCCAAATGCAGCAGCGTTCCAAGAGAAGTCGGGAAGGTACCGGGCATAAAAACTTCAAGCAGCATACAGGCCGAGGGCAACTGGTACCAGTCAGAGGCAGGCCAAGTCCAAGTCAAGTCAATATTAAAGGGCAACTCCAGTGCAATTGACGCGGTTTATTCGTGAGAGAGTGGAAGTGCTGTTAGCTGCTTGTGCGACATCATGAGTTGGACTGCACACCAGGAAACCTGTTTGGCAGTGCTGGGTTGGAGAAGACAGGCGGCCATAGCTGCAGTAGAAGTATGGCAGTAGGAGTAAGGAGGATGTATCCAATGGTTATGATTCTGATAGTAGTAGATGCAGGGAGTTCAGGAGAGAGAGAGAGAGAGAGAGAGAGAGAGAGAGAGAGAGAGAGAGAGAGAGAGAGAGAGAGAGAGAGAGAGAGAGAGA